GGGAGCGGGGATGGGGGTGCGGTTGAGGAGAGTGTGGTCGGCGTGGAACGGGGCGTTTAACGAGGACTGGAGGAGGACGGGGAGGTTGGTGGTTTGGGATACGGGGGTTCGTGAGGGGGGCTCGAGGGGGGAAGGGGAAGAGGGGGAGGGGGAGGGGGAACGGGAGCTCTGAGAGGGGGTTGATGATGGCGACCTGTATTTGTGGAGTTGATTGCTATATAAGTTGCGAGTTGTGTTGTAGGATATTTGCGCCCTTGTTGCTGGGGGGGTATAGACTGGCCGAGAACCGCATCGCAAGGGAGGATAATACACCAACCACGGTCAAGTTAAAGTATGCATGAATCTGGGTATTTGTTTCGGCTGCCTGTCCTGGGAAAAAAAGCCAAACGCGAGCTGTTTTCCGACCGACCGGGTTCGGGTGGGCAAACACACTCCCCACCCACCTCCCATCGCGACGACACACTTCCAAACGAGAGAAGCACCCTCCAAAACACCCGCCGCCCAAATTGCTCATCATAAACATCATCATCACGGCCGTCAAACTAGCCGGACCGGACTACACACCCACCCCCGATTCCACCACCATTTTCAACCCCCTTCCCCTTTTCAACTTAGATCCACCCCTAAGACCGCGCAGCCTCAAGCTCTAGCTCCAGCTGGCGGATGCGCTCGCTCTGGTCCTGCGTGCCCGCGCCGATCCGCTTCTTGAGCGTCTCCACCTCGGTCGCCAGCCGCGTGATCATCTGCGTCTGCGCCGAGATCTTGTTGCTCTGCTCGCTGATCACCTTGCCCTGCTGCTCCAGCAGCTGCCGGATGTGCTCCAGCGACGCCTCCACCGCGGGGCTGGACGGCACCGCAGCTGCAGCCGACGGAGCGGCCAGCGAGACGGGGGCCGGGGCTGGGGCCGACGTCTTGACCGGTGACGCGGGCTTCACCTGGGCAGGGGGCGCGGTGGTCTTGACGGGCTCGGGCTTGGCGGCCGGAGCACGGGCGGCGGGGATAGTGGTGCGGGGCACGGGGCGCGAGATCTCCTCGAAGCTCGACGTCTCAGCGTCGTCGTCATCCCTCTCTTCCTCCTCGTCGTCCTGGAACTTGTTCGCCATGGCCGAGATGGAGCTCTTCTGGTCGGCCATGCTGGTCGGGGCGCGCACAGGGACCGGGGCCGGCTCTGGTTCCTTCTTGGCGGCAGGCGCGGGCGCGGGCGCTGGGGCGGGAGCAGCAGCGGGAGCGGGCGGCTTGTAGTCGGCGGGCACCTCGACAGGCGCATTGCCGTCGTAGATGCTCTCCAGGTCGATCTTGGCCGGCACGGCCGTCTTGCCATCGAACCACTCCTTGGCCGACATGGCGGGCTTGAGACCGGTGGCGGGCGGGAAAATATCGGACTGGAAGGTCTCGGCGCGGCGGGGGACGGTGAACGAGATGGGCTCGATGTGGGTGTCGTTGATGGTCTTGTAGGCCCTCATGACCTCGTTCTCGTGGACGTTGATGCCGCGGCGCGGCACGAAGGCGATGCCACGCTGGGGGTCGGCCGACTTGTATTCGGACAAGAACTCGAACTTGTCGTTTTCATACTCGAAGTAGCGAATGTTGCCGTCGCTGGGTGGAAAATCAGCAGTCATCCCGTTAAACCGGTCACAGATGACTTACCCTTTTCCGGCAAGATAGAGGCAGTTGGATCCGTCGTCTGCGGCAAGGTCTGGTCAGAAAAGTTCTTCAAGAATCAAACCCAGAAATACACATCCTTACCCCAGAAGGGCATGCAGACGCCGGAGATGGAGTCGAGCGAGGTGAAGCCGCCGATGGGGTCCTTGCGGCCGGGCTCCCACAGGCCGATCTGGCGCTCGCTCATTCTCGAGAAGCCGGTGGTGGCAATGCGGTTGTGCTCGCCCATCCACACGGCACGGCTGTTCTTTGCGCCCTCGTGGCCGGCATACTCGTGAACGGGCTTCTCTTGGCGCACATCCCAGACGCGCAGCTTCTTGTCTCTCGAGGTGGTCACCAGCATGGCGCCATTGGGGCTCCACGACAGGCTCTGTACGATCTCGGGGTGCTTCAGGGTGATGCTAGCCTGGCCGGTGGTGATATCCCAGAGCTTGACCGTAAAGTCGCCGGAGGAGGACGCGAGGATGCCCTCAGCAGCGGGGTTGAAGAGGACATGGCCGACCTTTCTGCGAGGCATAAGCACAACGTCACAGCATGATCGAAGAACAGTATGAATCCCACCTCGAGTGGCCGGGCAGCCTGCTGACGGGCGACACGCTAGGGACCTCCTCGGCGTCTGTATAGAGGGTGAAGTTCTTGGGGACCTCCCAGATGAACACCTTGCCATCGTCGGACGCGGAAGCGATAATGCGGTCGTTGAAAGGGTGCCTGCGCGAGGGTTAACCCGGTGTCTTTGATCGTCGCGGGGGTGCAACGCACCAGTCGGTGTCCAGCACAGCGGCAGTGTGGCCTCGGAACAGGGGTATTTGGTCGGGCAGCTTGCCGCGCTCATTCAGGGGGATGACGGCAAAGGCGCCGCCGCCGCCGGACTCCCAATTGACGGAGAGGTACTCGGGGTTGACCTGGGACGTGGCGCAAGGGGTCAGCGGGCTGTTCACGATGCGCATTGTCTTGGTGGGGCAGATCGGGGCAGATCAGGATGACGGGCTCCTCGCACCTTCACTAGGTTCGTGTCCCAGGCATTGCGGCTGATGTGGAGGTTGTCGTAGCAAAACTCCCGCTTGGTGGGCTTCCCAAAGACGTGTCCTAGGCAGAGAGATGATGGGTCAGCACTTGTTGTCGCATGGGCACGCGATGTCGCGATGCTGTAGTGCTGCTGCGGCGGCCAGAGCGGAGCAAGCTGCGCTGTGCGTGCGTGTGCGTGCACTGCACTCTGCGCTGGGATGGATGGATGGCCGGTCGCTTACGGTATTTCGACGCGCGCACGAATCGGCCGGCCATTGGGGCGGTCGCCTAGAAAATACAGGATGGAGGGGTTGCAGCAAAAGGGAAAAGGGCGGTTACAGCAGCTTCTCGTCTTGATCTGCAGAGGATGGTGAAGTATGGGATATGGGGGATATGGAGCATCAGGGGCAGCGACGAGTTGGTCGGTCGCTCAGTGGGTTGAAGATGATTCCCCATTTCGGGCTCGGTTGTCTTGGCGAGGCTGCGCCCACATTCTCGCTAGCGCATGGCCCGTTCACCCTTGTTCCCGGCCTGTGATTGGCAGCGGTTGGCCAGCTGGGATGCCCCCTCGATCCATCGCAATGGTCGCCAAACTATCAACGCAACCATGGAATGGTAGATAGAGGTCTCCATCACGAGAAATTCTTATGACGGAGCTAGCATTGGAGAGGAATTGAATACTTCCGTCTCTTCAAATCTAACCAGTCAGTCATCCTAGTGGGTGGTGTCCAAGGCTGGGCAAACATTGCCAGCCCCATGATAGGGCCAGAGGATCCAGTCTCCTATGCGAAGGAGAAGCATCATTAGTCAACAATCCAACGTTATTCTTCAACAACATCTCATTGGCTGTCTGGTGTATTGGTTATCACGTCTCGTTCACAAAGTGAATTTCTTCCGAGAAGGTACCAGGTTCGATCCCTGGGATGGTCATTTCTTTTGCACTTCCTTTTTATTTGCACCTGAGCTGTTTATTCATCCTATGGCCGAGGATTTCCAATTTTTGCTGGGTTTCCTTCCTCCAAGTCCGTTGAAGTGGTAAGTCTGTGGTTCCTGCCTCCGAGTGGTCACTGGGGTTTATCGTCGGGCCATTTCGAGATTCAGGGTTGGGGTTGATGGCGAACCACGCCAAATTGGTCTCAATCCAGATGTCCGACATGGTACCAGCTCTGCGACCTGTACCATGAAAACATAGTCTCTTCTGTTGTTTTCAAGCCTCAGCAATAGTGTATGCCAGTTGATCACCAGACCACTGTGTGAGAAAGCAGGTTGTGTCTCCAGCTCTTGTCGCTGCTTCTCGTGGCGCTTTGACCAACACCGTAGTCTCCAAATATTTGGGAAGTTAAGAAGGCAGCTTCCCCCAGCAACCCAGGCAGCTGTCACACTCCAAAGATGCTTCGACTGTTCTCCTCAGACGGCCGCCCGCGACACTACTGCGATCCCTGACGCCAGCATACCTCGCTCTACCCCCCCCCCCCCCCCCCCCCCCCCCCCCCCGCGACACATATCAACGGTGCAACCGTTCCGCTCCATCATCGTTGTCCTGCTGCCCGCTCCTCGGCTCGTCCCGTCCTCTTCTCCCCGTGGAATCGACCACTGCCCCGCCGGCGCCATGGCCAGCAAGGCCAAGTCTCGCTGGGCCGACGACGAGGCCGACGCAGCGCTCGACGCACAGCTGAAGAAGGAGAAAGAGGAAAAAAAGCGTCTCAGGGCCGAGAAGGCGCGCAAGCTCGAGGCCGAACGACAAGCTCGGGAGGCTGCCGCAGCTGCTGCCTCTTCCGCCGCCGATGCGCAGCAACACGAGCGCGATGGAACAGACCGCGGGTCCCCGGCGAAGCGACGAAAGCTGTCCCCCGAGCGCGAGACGGTGCCGCCCACCGACAGTGCCCCGAAACTGCTGCGCTTCGAAGGCGGCACGTTCGGCCGGAGCCGCAGCGTCGAGAACTACGACAAGCTCAACGACATCGAGGAGGGCGCGTACGGCTGGGTGTCGCGGGCCAAGGAGATGGCCACCGGCAACGTGGTTGCGCTCAAGCGGCTCAAGAGGGACCCTAAGGACCTCGGGGGCATGCCCGTGACGGCGCTGCGCGAGATCCAGATCCTCAAGGACTGCGACCACCGGAATGTGGTCAAGCTGAAGGAGGTAGTTGTCGGGGACGACACGACCAAGATTGACAGGTACAGTCTAATTCCACCACACCGTCTGACCAACCCCCCAAACGCACCCCATCACTAACATCTGTCTCTTCCCCAGCATCTTCCTCGTGCTTGAATTCCTCGAACACGACCTCAAGTCCATCCTCGAGGACATGCCCGAGCCGTTCCTCGCCTCCGAGGTGAAGACCCTCCTTCAACAGCTCGCCTCGGGCGTCTCATACCTCCACGAGCACTGGATCCTCCACCGCGACCTCAAGACCTCCAACATTCTCCTCAACAACCGCGGCCGGCTCAAGATCGCCGACTTCGGCATGGCGCGCTACGTCGGCGACCCCCCGCCCGCCCTCACCCAGCTGGTCGTGACCCTCTGGTACCGCGCGCCCGAGCTCCTCCTCGGCGCGACCCGCTACGACTCGGCCATCGACATGTGGTCCGTCGGCTGCATCTTTGGCGAGCTGCTCACTGGCAAGCCGCTCCTCACGGGCAACAACGAAGTCGGCCAGATCGCCGCGACCTTCGAGCTCTGCGGTGTCCCCACCGACGAATCCTGGCCGGGCTTCCGGCGCCTGCCCAACGCCCGCCGCATGTCCCTGCCCCCTTCCACCTCCACAAAAAACACAACGGGCGCCCTCATCCGCGCCAAGTTCCCCCTCCTCACCTCCGCCGGCGCCGCCCTCCTCGCCGGCCTGCTCTCGCTCGACCCGGTACAGCGCCCCACGGCGCGCGAGATGCTTGACCACGAGTATTTCCGGCAGGACCCGAAGCCGAAACAGGAGGCGCTGTTCCCGACCTTCCCCAGCAAGGCGGGTCAGGAGCAGCGGCGGCGGCGCGAGACGCCCAACGCACCGGTGCGCGGGCAGCGCGCGGCCGACCTCGGTGCTGTGGATTTCAGCGGCATCTTTTCGGGGAGGGAGAAGGAGGAGAGGGGTGGGGGATTTACGTTGCGCATGGTGTAGCATGTTGATTAGCCACCTACCGAGGCAGACACCCGGTAAGAGGGTCTAGTGGTGGTAAGAAATACCCGGCTTGACGTCACGGTGTTTGTTTGATTCATGACCGCATCACATCACAGATCACAGACAAACCCAAGACACAAATTTAGATACAGAGACAGAGACAGGCAGCAGACCTCATCACACACCACAGACAAACCCAAGACACAAATCACACCCAAACCAAGACAGAGACAGCGAAACTCGAGACCCTCGAGACAATGTCGTAAAGCTATGATGCTCCATTAAGCTACCCAATATATATATATGCAGACGTCATTCCCAGAGAGACTGAAATGCACCCCGGATGCCCCCCGCCAACAATATCCCCCCTCCCTCCCCCCATCATCTCTTTTTTGGCAAGCCTCGTCCCAGGGGAGGGGGCGGTGTTCACCCCCCAAAAAAAAAAAGACATGATCCAAACGAAATGCACGCAACGCAGTAAAAAAACAAACTCGAATCCAACGCCCCCCC